TAACATTTTTAAAATAGCACTCAGTTTAGCAAAAGACCAAAAAGATAAAGACATCCTCATTCTCGGAGACCCGTATCACCACGTACCCACAAGGTCACGTGATCATGTTTGTAGTCCAGAAACTTCCTTTGGATAATAATTCCTCGCATTGACCCTTCCCTCCTCTCCCCACCCCCTCCCACAGAATTATCAGTCTGTGCCCATGTCCCTGGGCACTTTGTCCATCCCTGGGCTGTAGCACATTTCCTGTATCTTTGGCCAAGTCCGTCTCCCCACACCCCCACCCCTGGACAGGGAGCTCCTTAAGCACTGGAGTCCTGCCTTGCGAATGGTACTAGATATTTAACAAATGAGTGAATAATTCAGTTAGAACGAGTGATAAACACAGAAGCCTGAATACGTCACACGTATCTGCCAAACTCCCTGGTCTACAAAATATTTCCATAGGCCTTCTATCTGCCTGATTTCACAGGTGCAGACGAGAAGGCTCTGAAACATTAAAGGGAACTCCTCAATCCATCGAGATAGGAAAATGGTAAGATCCAGGACTTGAATTCTTTTTCTTTTTTTTCTGGCAAAAACAGATGGCGGACATTATTTTGTTTTCTAGCAGGGACTTCCACGATATTTATTTATTTATTTATTTATTTATTTATTTATTTTTTTTTTTTAAAGATTTTATTTATTTATTTGACAGAGAGAGATCACAAGTAGACAGAGAGGCAGGCAGAGAGGGAGGGAAGCAGGGTCCCTGCTGAGCAGAGAGCCCCAATCCCAGGACCCTGAGACCACGACCTGAGCCGAAGGCAGCAGCTTAACCCACTGAGCCACCCAGGCGCCCCTTCCACAATATTTAAAAGACACATTATAGTCCCCAGCCCCCACCCTCAAGTCACTCCATGCTAGAACTCATTTTTCTTCTGATGGTGGGGGGCGGATAAAAAAGCAATAGCAGTTAGACCCTCATATAATGCCTTGTTAATCCTTCCCTTATTGAAGTGGAAGCTCCTCTCAGGCAGGAGCCACCTCAGATTTACCTGGGCATCCTCTCCCACTGCCTGGAATATTGACTCAGACCTGGGAGGGGGCCAAGAACCATCAATGAATCAACAAGATCTAACCCCGTAGCCTCTGATCAGGAACTGGGAGCAAAGAGCTGTCTGTAAGATACACTAGCCCAAACATTCAACTCCTGGGTGCAAGCGGCAAGTTCCAAGGTTCCAAATGCCAAGGGAACACCAAATGTCTCCAAGATTCAGCCAGAGCTCGAAGCCAGCCCCCGGGGGCAGCTTCTGTGGTCTCCGGGGCCCTTCCTGTCCCCAGCTCCCTGTGTGAAATGTCCTTCATCAAGGTTAACCAGAGAAAGGAGTGGACGGACAGCTTCCCTGGCAGCTGGAGGTGGGCTTGCTTCCTGAGGGACCAGAGTGGTGCTCTGAGCAGCAGCGAGGGAGGTGGGTGGACAGGAGATAGTGAGGTCAAGAGGGTATTAAAAAGAAGCCACTCTTGCAGCCCTGGTCATAGGTCTGCCCCCAGACGTCTGAGAAAGGAGCCTTAAAGATGACGATCTTTTTCCTTTCTCCCTAGGGGGAGAGGAGCCTGGCAAATTCCAGGTGGTGAACAGGAGGAAGTCATGTTCAAAGAATGGAGTCACAGAGGAAGAGGAGATGGCACGTGTCAGACCTGCTGTCTGGTTCAATTCCCCCATTTTCCTCTGGATGTTGACACAAGAAAGCCCAGATTCCCTCCCAAACCAACCAGACTGGAAGCCTGGTCCAGCTCCCAACAACCAGGCCAAGGCATGGAGCCCGTCGGTAGAAGGACAGTTACCAGTGTCCATCAAAACAAGTTATTCTCAAGTGTGCCTGGCCCGATCACTGACCCAGCATGAGCATACCTTCTCTTCCTCTCCGTGGTAAAGCTAGGACTCCATGCTTCCCAGCTGGCCAGGAAGATGCCTGCTGCCTTACTCAGATACTTGGGCAGGTGACGGGTAAGATGCTGTTATACAACTTGTCTAAGTTCTGCCCAGACTGCCAGACCTCAGAGTCTCCGGATAGCCTCTCGCCTGGTGAATCTAAATCAAGCTCTTACCACTTCCTTGGCACGGGTCTCTTTCACATTCTTGGTATCAGTAAGCCTGCATCGCTCCAGCTCTCCTGATCGCCGAGACAGGTTACAGCCGGCGTTAACACAAGCAAGCCTGCTGTCTAGAAGACCCTAGGATACTGCTGTCCTTGCCAAAGGTTGCTGATGTTGATCATGATTACACATTAGCCAAAACACGCTTGTCAAATCTCCCCAGACTGAGGTCTCCTGAAACCCCAGGGTAGTTTTAACCACTCAGTGCCCCATCCCCCTCCACACACCATGGGATAACTAGGTTAAACATCACCCTTGGTCAGCTCTCCAAAGCCCTCGTTATACAAGGTAGTGTAGAGACAGCAGACAATTTGACAAACACCACCACCGCACTCTTTGGGGCTTAGCAGACACACTGATATCACCAACGTGGAGGCCAGCTAGACACCTCCCCAAGACATGGCCTTTAGTTTCCTGCCCACGACCAAAACAGTGGCAGCCGTTGCCAAGGGAGACAAGGTGACCCAGAGGCGTGGGCACAAAATCCGGGGATGGAAATCCATTTTGTCTGGATCCACCCAAGCAACTGGGTTTCCCGGAGAAAAGATTAAAAACAAAATCTACCTTCCTATTCCACCCTTGCTAGGCAGGTGGAAGATACCGCACTCCTAGCAGAGAGTCGTGCAAAGGCCAGGTGCAAGTCAGCCTGAACTCAGAAAAGTCCAAACTGTTCCTATGCCTCACGCTGTGGAGGACTTTGGAAGAGTCCTCAGCTGAGCTTCCCTAGAGGGTAAAGCCCAACCAAGGCAAGAGAAAGCAAGGGATCTCTTTCAAGCAGTCACCAACCCAGACAGAACATCACCAACCTTACCAACAGTGATCCACAGCTGCCCCTGCCCCAAGCTAACTATGCTCTAGCATTCAGCAAAGAATGTATTCAAAACTTTGGAAGTAGAGAGCAGCCTGCAGTAGGAAAAGGAGCACATGTGGTCAGAGTCCCAAGTCCACTGGGCCAACCCTTTTCATCTCCCTCCTCCAGTTTTCTCAACTTTAAAAAGGAGACACATGTGCAGTCTGACGGCCTTATCTATTTTCCAGGAGTTTCTTTCTTGGTCTCATTAAGACCATGTGAAAGTGCTTTGTAAACTATAAAGCACTTTACGCAGCTGCTCATTTTATAACTAATGCCTTTCTTTTCTTTTCTTTTCTTTTTTCTTTTCCTGTTTCAAGGCACAAAGCACTTGTCCTCAATGCACCCAGACAGATAAGAAGGCACGTTTGCACACCCCTCCCCAGATGCGAGAAGTATGACACTCATTCACCCTACCCCTGCCCCCCTAACCAAAGGAATAAAGAATTCAGAACCAGAGCTGGGCCCAGAATCCAAGGCTCACGACCCCATCACATCACACCACCGCCTCTGAATTCAATTCTGGCTCCTGATCACAGGCCCAGGGTGCACTTCCCAGACGACACACCACCTTCCCTCCCCTTTATTGACTGGATCCACCCAGTTAAAAAAAAATACTACTTTTTAAGCCAGCTCTCCCACCATATGTGGCATTTATTTCCAGAGGAGGCCCGTTCTGGGTTCCTGTGGACAGATGTTGCTTTGTGCCTGCCTCACACGGCTGGCAGGCCGTGTACAGCTGCCCCAAGCAGGTGGCCAAGGAGGCAGTCCACTCCTGGCCCAGCAGCAAGGCCCACAATCTCTGCTGTGGGACTCGGGCCCTGCAGACCCTCTGCTCATTCCTCTGCAGCCTGGGACCCCCAAGGACATCCCACCCCTATGCACACACACAAACATCCTTGGTGCAAAGTCAGAATTTAAAGGGGGCCCAGAGGGAGAGACAGGAGGCTAAGGTGTCCCCCCTACCCTGACTCGTGCGCTCTCTCTCTCTCTCTCTCTCACACACACACACACAAATACACACACTTCCCAGCCAGGGGCAGCAACACTAAGAGAAAGCCCTGGGGAGTGAAGTCACTGACCCCTTCCATCAGCCATCTGTGAGCTCCCGCCTGACCTAGCTAGCGCGATGCGGAGGAGAAAGGAGGTCCAGACAGATGGCAAAGCGCTTTGGGAAGGAGGGCTCTGCAGGAATGCGAGGGCCGATGCGAGGCCCACTTTGGGGTGCGCTGTTATCTGATCAACTCGAAGCTCGTTCTCTCCTCCATCAGCCCGCAATCTCAGGCTGAAGGCGGGACAAAACAATCGTCAGGGGAGGGGGAGAAGAGAAGACCCTAACCTCGGCCACTTATCTCTCATTTGAAAGCACTGCGCGGCAACTAAAGTGCGTGTGTGCGGAGGGGGCGGGAGACTGGCACAACCAAGTCTAAAAATACTGGATAAAAATGCTAATCCCGAAGGCAAAGAGAGAACGAAGAAGGAATCTGTCAATCACGAGGCTCCCGCTCCTCACCCACAGCCCCAGCTGTACGGACTGCATTCCTGTTGCGGAGGAAAGAAGTGGGGGGACAGGGCTGAAGGAAAGAAAGGGAGAGACACCACCACCTCCACGAGCGCGGGCCGCGGGGGCGGGAGGCGGCGGCGGAGGAGGGGCTCCGGCCCGCGGAGCTGAACAAAGCGGGCCTCAACTTCTAGCCCGCAGCTCCCGGGAGTGGGGGCTGCCAATTTCAGCAGCACCCGCCTTTCGCGGAGGTGAAACACGAATGTGAGGTCTGGAAGTGAGAGTGCCCCGTGGAAGCCCCAGGCTCTGAATCTTTGCAAATCCAGAGAAGGTTTTGTTTGGGGTCCCCCCCCACCAGCCTCTTCCGGACCGCGCTCCCACTGCCCCCCCTTACACACACACACACACACACACACACACACGAGCCCTTTCGCTCCAACCCCACCCGACCGGCCCCGCCATGCCAGGGGTCTGGGCGGGCGCGCCCCCCGGGTCGCCAGGGCCCCCCACCTGGGGATGGTGATGCACTTGGTGTTGACGTTCTGCGTGGTGATGGCCTTCTCCAGTTCGTCCAGCTGCCCCGTCTTCTTGAGCTTCTTGACCAAACTCTTGACCGCCTTCTCGCACCACTTCTCCTCCTGCCCGTTCTGCTCGCCCTTCTTCCAGCCCAGCAGGCGCTTCACGATCGGGGGGGTGAAGGGCAGGATGGACGACATGGCTGGGGAGGGCGCGCGGGCGGCGAGGGGCGCCCCCGGCGGGGCTGGGCGCGGCGGGGCGCCGAAGGGAGCTCGGCCGCCCAAACTTCGCCCGAACTCCCGGCGAACTTGCCCGTGCTCCGGGCCGGGCCGCGGCGCTGCAGCCAGCGGGGCTCGGCGCGCGGCCCTGCGCCCCGAGCGGTTCCCGCGGCGGGAAGGAGGGCGGCAGGGGAGGCGGGCGGACTGCCGGGTCGGGAAGGCCCCGAACGCCGGGCGGAGGCGGCAGCCGCGAGACTCAGAGTGGCAAAAGAAAGTTTGGGTTTCCGCACGGGGTAGCTGTTTGGGTGCCGCCTCCAGGAAGGAAAGTCCAACCCCCAGCCAAACTTTGCTCGCCTCGCTCGCTTTGATGCGCAGATCCCTCCGCCTCGGCAGCCTCGCTTCCCCGCTCTCCTCCTCCTTCCCGGCTCGCTCCCTCGCTCGCTCGCTCGCTCGCTGGGCCGGCCCGGGGCGTGCGCCGCGCTCCCGCTCCCGCTCCCTCTCCCGCTCCCGCCCGCTCCCAGTCTGCGTTTCATGCAAATCCGCGTGCAGCCTCCTTTCCAAGCGCTGTCACCGCCCCCTCGCCGCCGGGGCTCCCCGCCTCCTCCCCCGCGCCCCGCCGCCTCCGCCCCCGGGCGCCTTGCCCACCCCCAACCTCCGGGAGAGCGCCCGGCCTTCCCCCGCCCGGCGCAGAGCACGCCCACGTGGGCGACCCTGGCCGGCGGCGGCCCTGCCTGGTGCGCGCAGGACCCCGCGCGGCCCGGACCTCGAGTCGGGCGGGCGCCGGGAGGAAGTCGTGGGAACCGAGCTGCGAGAGGGGAGGGCCGGGCTCTTGCCCTGGCGTCCACTCTCTGCACCCACACTCAGGAAGCTCCGTTGCAGTGTCGGGCTGGAGAGGGCCAGACTGGCAGCTAGCGAGCGCTCTCCGGCCAGAGGCTGGCCCGCACCCATGGGGGCACCCGCGTCCGAGAAAGGGCGCGCGGAAGGCTGAGGCCCAGGAAGTCGGGGCGCGCTCTTGGATGTGCGCGGGCTGATGCCGGCCAGGTGCTTTGGCGGCGCCGGAGTCCCTGGAGCTGTTTTTGTTGTGGTGGTTGGGGTTTTGTTTATTGTTTTTTTATTCTCTCCTCGGTGAGATCACACCGGCTGAGAGCCCCCGAGCCTGTGTGCGAAGGAGACAGTTGGGATGGGGGGGGGGGATGGAGATTTGAGGATCCATGGGACTCCCTGGATGATAGCCGGAGCCAGGGGTCCCTTGGGCCTTGTGAATCAAGTCCTGGGCAGAAAATGGGCCTCAAAGACATCTGTTGAGTTCATGAAGGAATGAATGGGGGCGCTTTAGAATTTATCTTGGGGGGAAGAGGGGATTGCATTACTGGGTGTTTTCAATCTTATGATACAAAAAAATCCAAAATTCGACACCCCCAAAACTAGGAGAAAGCTTTGTTTCCAAAGCTGTGAACTCGCAGAAAGTGGGGCAGAGGGGGAGTACTCGGGAGGTTTCTGTATTCAAACTTGGGCTCGGTGGGAAGCAAAGAAATCCCAGGACATTGGGGCGCCTGGGGATTGTCTCCCCACCAGCAGAATTCGGGGCCTTCTAGGCGCAAACCCCACAGTTGCGGTCGGGAGTTATTCCAGACCCTCAGGTCATTTCTCCCGCTGCCCCTCCCCTGCCAGGCCTCTAGCCGGGTGTCTACAGCCTTTGTTTGTTTTTAACAGCAGGAAACACCCCCCCCTCCCCGGTGAGAAAGACGTTATCCGCTAGCGGGTGGGGAGTTACAAAGCTCTGTGAGGTGTGGCCCAATCCACAAAATCCGCCCGGTAGCTGCAGGGGTCCCTGCCTTGGAGAGAACGGCCTCCCACGGGCCCATCGGCTGCCGGGGAGGGCTGTGTTCTTCACACTCCCCTCCTCACTCCCCTGCCGCTTGGCCCTGAGAACCCCTGAACCCCAAGTGGGGCTTTCCCTTTCCTGGCTAGACCTCAGGTCACCTGCAGCCCCTGTAGTGTGAGGTTTCATTCGGTTCCTCCCAGCCCTCATCAGAAAAAAAAGAGAGAGAGAGAGAGAGAGAAAAGGAAACAACAGTCAACATGAATTGGTGGCTTTCTTCATTCCAGGTAACCCAAATGCTGCTTTCTGCTTTAATCCTCAGAACGGCACCCCCAGGGAAGATATCCCGGTGCCTCCCATTTACAGGTGCACATAGAGCCTACAATACTTAACTCGGGTTTCCAAGCTGGGGAGCTGGAATTTGAACCCAGCGCTGGGTGAGGCCGAAGTCCACATTCTTGCCTGTGCCTGCCCCTCGCTGCTTTTCAGAGTCCTGGCCCGAGAAGGTGACATCACGGATAGAGCTCTTTGCAAAACAAAAGTTCTTTACGCAGGTGCACTATTGTGGTCCCGCAAGGAATGTTTGCTCGCTGATTAAATAGGGCTAGAAATAGCTTTCCTCTCAACCTCAGGCGGTGGTCCTTGTGGGAATCTCCTGGGAAAATCTTTGCAAACAGTCAAGGGCTGTTAAGTGACAGAACCACAGCTGGGGGCCCCAGGGGCCGATGCCGTGAAGAGTGGTGTGTGGCTAAGCGAGAAAGTTCTGTTAGACACGCGTCTATAGGATGCCTCTGTGTCACAGCCCTCTCCTTCGTTTCTGGGAAGGCTGAAAAGGATGATGAAGGCCCCTCTCCTCAGGGAGCTCACAGCCTAGAGAAGCCCAAGGCATGGGAGGCGTGTGCCTGGGAGAAGGGGCCCCTGCAGGCATCACCTGCTAGTAAAACCTGAATTCTAACCTGAATATCAAATCATGCCGATGGGACTGCTGTGAGGCCGTCAGATGAACTAAGGGGCCCTCAGGATCCCTCAGTGACTTGACCCGACCTTCCGCCCTGGCTCCCTCCGCCTCATGGAGCCTCTCCTCTCAGCTGTCAGAACGGAGAAAACAGTTGTTACTGTGTAGAGTAGTGAATCCAGAAAAGCATCAAAAGTGCCCTCCTGCGACGCGAACATCTCATTTCACAGAGGCAGAAGCCACGCCTCATGGAGGCAGGCCATGTCCCCCACGGAGGTCAGGAGCCAAAGAGATCGGGAATTAAGCAGAGTGGAAGGGCCTGGTGTGGACCTAACTCTAAAACCATGGTATGGGAAGAGCTCTTCTTCCAGTGCTCCCATTTTCCCAAGGGGAGGAAATAACTAGTCAGCAGCGAGTTAGCATGGCTGACATACACTTTCTCGCACTTCTTCACAAGCTGTCATCCGCGTGACAGGCACAGTCGTGCGTGCAGAAAAACAGGGCCAGATCCACGTGTGAGTCCAGCAATGCCATTTCGGGGCTAGTCCTTTCTCCTCTGGGCTCAGTCTCTCCACAAGAAGAGTTGAGGGGCTAAGTCCAGTTTCAACCAAGCAGCAAGGAGGGCTGAGGAACGGATTCCTTCCCCACCCCACCCCACCCCCGGGGCCAAGAGGACCCTGCGTGCTCCTGTGACTCTGGGCAGTGAATGGGAGGACGGCTCCGGATGGATAGGAACCCTGTTCTGGCGCCTGGTCTCCCGGGGCCCAGCCAGGCCAGCTTTTGCAGAGGTTGTCCTTGGAAGGGAAACATGAGCCCAGTGAATTTTTCATCACCGTAAGTGCAAAGTTCAAGAGAGGTGGGATGGGGCTGGAGGCAGCGAATCTGTTTCCCTGGGAATAGTCGCAAATGGACTTGCCAAAGGGTTCTCGCAGATTTGGAGCGGCTCCCAGGTAGAACACTGGAGAGAAACAAACATATGACTTCATTTCTGATTATTTTTTTTCCATGAGCTAAAGGGTATTTAATCAACAAGTGGCAAATCTAGAAAGAGCTTTAAAATTGTTCCATCTTCATGTCACACAGACATGAAGGGACATCTGGTGAAGGAAGGTGACTGGCACATCTAAGTCAGATTCGAGGCGGGACCGGAAGTCTTACCGGAGTGGCCTCATCTGAGAGAGCACATTGCCCTGTGGCTCTGTGCAACCCCTTACACGTGGGAGCCCGCCCCATGGTGCCAGACAGAGCTGGGTTCGATTTACAGCTGGTTCGACTTCCGGCTCTGTGACTTTGGGCAAGTCCCTTAACTCCCTGCGGGTCAGTTTCCTATTCTATAAAATAGAAATAATACACCTCTCAGGGTTGCTGTAAGGAATCCAATAACCCATGAGCTTGCCACAAACACACGGTACGTTCCACACAGAGTAGGGATATGGTGGGTGCTCACCACAGAGTACTAGAACAATGAGTACTAGTACTAGTAAAATGAATACTAGTATTAGTATTAGAACAATGAGTGCGGCACACACAAAGCAAATGGATGGATCTTAAAAACAGTGCGGAGAGCAAATAGGAACACAGAGAATGAGGTAAGTAACATAATGCTACTTGCGGAGAAAATTACATATACACAGAACAACTGTGTGCTTTCTGAAAGCTGTCTTAAACAAAAAGATAACATGTCGAACCACTTCACACTCATTCGTATGGGTGGTATTTTTAAAAAGGAACAAAAGAACCAGTGTTGGGGAAGACAAGGAGAAATGGGAACCCCCTTGGGATGTAAATGCCACAGCCACTGTGGAGAACTGTATGGTGATTCCTAAAACAACAACAACAAAAACAAAAACAAAAACAAAAACAACGAACAACTACACACAGAATTACCACTTGATCAAGCAATTCCACTCCTAGGTTTATACTCACGGGATGCCAAAGCAGGGACAAATGGCGACAGCTATTTGTACACTGTTTGTAGCAGCATAATTCATGAGAACCAAAAGGTGGAAGCAACTCTAGTTAATCTGCTCGTGGACGAATGAATAAACAAAATGTGGTATATACACATACAATGAAATATTATTCAGCCTTCACAAGTTTCCAGAACCTTCCAGCCCAGTGATCATGATCTCTCATGGTGCAGAGCACAGTCAAAACTATTTCACATGTCCCACATTGTAGCCACCCCTAGGAACATATAGACTTAAGGGTGGCTCCATTGGACAGCGTAGGGTGCTGAGGGTCAGGAGACTAGCGCCATTTGTGGGTCTGCTCTATGCCGGGCTCTGGGCCCCGGACCTCAAGGATAGGGTCATGTTTGAAGTTATCCCAGATGCCACATCACTGTGGCTACTTCACAGAGCACAGGGACACCTGGAGCTCAGCTGCTGTTACTCAAACAGG